GGTTAACATTAGTCAGGAAAGATGCAAACTTGATAATTCCCAAGATTTTGTTCCATTTCTTAATGCGGTTGTTTCTAAGTACCACAAAAATGATCTAATGGAACAACAGATAAGGCATTGTACGAGAGAAATAAATAAATACATAGATAGTTAGATATATAAATAGATAGGTAGATACAGACAGACAACATGTCGGTGGATGGAAAAACAATTTACCTCTTGTAGAAATAAGTTACAACGGAGAAAAATGTTCAGAAGCGTGTCAAAAAATACAAGTTTGTTTGTGTTAACAAAGATAAGAAATACGAGACTGTTTGTGTTAACAAAGATAAGAAATACAAGATTGTTTGTGTTAATAAAGATAAGAAATACGAGACTGTTTGTGTTACAAAGATAAGAAATACAAGATTGTTTGTGTTAACAAAGATAAGAAATAACGAGACTGTTTGTGTTAACAAAGATAAGAAATACGAGACTGTTTGTGTTAACAAAGATAAGAAATACAAGATTGTTTGTGTTAACAAAGATAAGAAATACGAGATTGTTTGTGTTAACAAAGATAAGAAATAAAAGATTGTTTGTGTTAACAAAGATAAGAAATTCGAGACTGTTTGTGTTAACAAAGATAAGAAATACAAGATTCTTTGTGTTATTATCACATAGAATAAACAGAGAATGACGATCCTCCACACAGCGTAACATTGAATCACGTGTATTAATTTTACTTCCAATAGAACCGATTATCTCGCGCTCGCTTTACGTTCTCTTCTGTGTCTTACTGACCTTAAAACTATGTTTGGTAGACACAGACAGTGTAAGAAAATTAATTTAAATAATACAACAAGCTATAAAGAAGTACTTTAAATTCTTCCAGTTAAAAAAATCGTGGAAAATTGAAGTTCTAAATGTAAACAATCCGACGTAAGATGCAGACGATCCTGCTGAAGTGAAAATTTACTGAAAGTTGCGACAGTTTCTTCAGGTAATGTTATATAAATGTTTAATATGGTAATCTGAAGAGATTCCACCAGGGAGGTAATTTAAAATCTTGTCACAACACCTAACGACGCTTTGCCCTCTGGAATTTTTAAACAGGGTGAAAATGGAATTCTGTGGCTGTCGTTTACTGAAGCAAGCTTTGGAAAATCGATCCTATGTTGGAGAACTATGAAAAGCATGCAGTGAGAAAATGGATGGAGTAGCTAATCGTTATTCGTGGGCGTCTGATTTTATTTAAAACAAAATACAAAACTACCAAACAATTATATACTGAACATGGGTGAGAATGAAAAAATATATAATAGCCAATTAACATTTTATATAAAACTCATATGTAGAAGCTGGTTCTAGACATCTCGGCCTAAGCGTCTCGTAATGTAGGCGTAACTAACACTAACTAAGAAGACCATAATAGTTAGGTAATAATCAAAATATCCTGAACAAATGGGAGAGTACGGGGTGGGTCAGTGTTAGTTGTTATTACCCTCACTCGTTCTTTTCACTCTTGTTTATATGTATGTATGTATGCGTGTGTGTGTGTGTGTGAATAGTATAACTCAGAAAGTTTTCATCTGATCTTGATCAAATTTGCTACAAACACCGAAAAACGAGTCTTGGAACACTTTTTAAATTTAAATAACATTGTGTATGCATTGTAAACTTGTCATAGGGCTATTGTTTTGGCGATATTCTACCTTAACCATGAAAATTATTCCAATTCAACCAGAATCGGCCCGGCATGGCCAAATGGTTAGGGCGCTCGACTCGCAATCTGAGGGTCGAAGGTCCGAATCCACGTCCCACTAAACATGCTCGCCTTTTCAGCCGTGGGAGCGTTATATTGTGATGATCAATTCCACTATTCGTTGGTAAAAGAGTAGCCCAGAAGTTGGCGGTGGGTGGTGATGACTAGCTATCTTCCCTCTAGTCTTACACTGCTAAATTAGGGACGGCTAG